AACCCTGTAACGGTTAATTTTCTATATTTTCTCCAGAATCTAGGTTTAATTTACATTCAATTCGGGCGGCAGGTTGGGAATGTTTTAAGGGCAGGTCTACCTTAGAGGCTTACGTTCACTTCTTTCATTTTCCTTTCGAATGTAAGTTTCGCTCCTCTATCTGAGCTCTTCACTCTTCATCTTTCCTTGTTTTCTATTCTATGGGACGGGTTTCAGGAGTACTCTATTTTCTGTCAGCTCCAGGGGTTGGGCTATTTTTTTTATTGGGGATTTTCCTGGGTTTTAATTTGTTTGGGGTGGATTGTTTCGCTTATTGAGCAATATAGTGGGTTGGGTTTGGGTTTTTACTTTATGTCTTGTCCATTAATTACGGGTTATAACATTTCAATTTCCTAGTTCATTGTTCCTTTCTCTTCTGTGATTTCACATCTTAATCTTACTGATAAAATCGAACTGTTCACATTTAAAAATCTTCCTATTCTTTCTCTCAGCTTATCTAGGTCTTCTTTCTTTGTCATACAATTTGAATTTAGGAAACTTTCGGTTTCCTTATTTGTATTACCTAATAGATAAGGGGAATCCCTAGTTCTCTTGATTTTCCCCGAATTCATTCTTCCTGTGGCATTGTAAGACACTTGTCTGTATGTGGTGAAGCTACAAATTCTTAACTGGGTTTTATCCGGCTCATCTGTGAGGATTATCAAGAATTTAAGCTACATTTACGCCGTAATTATTATTTACTTACATTTCAATTGTTCCAATTGTGATTTGGCGTTTTACGCGTTATGCGGATCATTAACCACATGGCAGCATAAAACTTAGGCTCGTTCAACACCTGTAGAGGTAAGCCAACTTATTACCATCTTGCACGGGATTTAGGCATAAATTCTTTTAGCCATTCTATTCTCTCTGGAAATCAATTTTATATAATTAATCGAACGTCACTGGACACTACCTATTCTTCCGTCTTCGTCAGCGTCACTTCTATTTCTTCTATCAGAACTTCAGGATAGCACCAAGGGTTATCGAAGCCGAGGCACACCTATTGTTGTACCTACCCCGAGTTATACCAGCTTCCGAGGAACCATCTTCAGTTATACAACCATCGGCAACTAAAACACCAAAAGGTCAGCAACCTCTCCCAAAACTACCCCTGAAGTTACTCACTCCCTTTCTTCTCTTCCCTTACTCCTTCTTATCTTTTTCCCTCTTATCTTATCTCCCTGTAATCTCTTGTCCTCAGTTATGCATTCATATCCTTAATCATTCACCTCACACATACCTATCTATTCAATAAAATCTGTTTATAATTATAATTTGTGTAAACTAATATTTGACAACTACCTTTGTAGTTCAAGTATAAAACTGTCAGGTGCAATACAACTACCGCTTCACGGTGATTCATTTCAACTACTTTAAATTTTTGTAAGACTAAAACAAGAGTTACCTAAATCTGAATAACTGCTGTCTGTCTGCAGCACTCTAATTGCACGTCTCGATGAAAGATCTTTCCACGGCAACCTGCAAACCTTTAACTTTGATCAATAACATTGACCGGTATACGTCTACTGGCACTAACCTTTGTTATACTATTCTTGTTGCCGTCAGGTATAATTCTCGCACCACCTAATTTTTGTTGTCCCGTGAAATACAAAAACCAATTTTATCACTTCCCCTAATTAACCTATCTCTTCAGAACTTTATATTGATTACCGAATAAATAAATATTGTGCACCTTTCTTTCTTCGCCTACTTCGTCTCTCCTACTTTCTTTTATTTCTATTTAGTGTTCCTGAGTCTGACTTCAGCCAGTTTCGTCTGCTTTGGAAGCGGAAGCAGAACCATCCACGATCTGTTTGATACCTTATATACAGCTTCTGGCGCCTGGGATTTTTTTTTTGCACTCTTTTAGTTTAACCTCGACCTACACCGACGAGCGGCCGGCAACAGATCTTTGATCACCGCTGTAACCAGGCTACGTGTTTGTCCAGATTTTCCTTTGTGTTTGTTTTGTTTTCTTTTTCCCTTTCAGCGTGTCCCACGGATGCGGAGCGGTGACAACGCGAAAAACACTAGAAGCAATGCCAAACGCATTCTCAACAACACGACGTGCCCGGCTGAGCCGATAATTAAATATTCGCTCAGGAGACTCTTTTGGATGTTGGCCAGCGTAGGGTTTCATTATGTGTTCACTTAGTGGGAATGCTGCGTCGCCCAAGAATACAAAGGGAATTGCGACAGTTCTTCCAATTAGAGGCGAAAATGTAGGCTGATTTAAAGCATTATTCGCAATTTTTTTATACAGCTGACAGTTCTGAAATACACCACCGTCCGATATGCGGCCTTGGCATCCTATGTCCACGAACATGAAATTGTAGTCGGCATCAACCAAGGCCATCAGAACAATACTAAAGAATGATTTATAGTGTTGTGAAAGTCACTTCCGCTTTTAATTGGAGCTTGTACAACTACGTGCTTGCCGTCTATAGCACCCACGCAATGTGGGAAATTCCAAATGTCTTCGAATTTCTGGGCGACGTTTTTCCATTCGTCTTCCGAAGCTGGAAGCTGAAAAAAAAAATGTCATTCAGGCTAGTATGGTCGCTGTCAATTAAGTGCTTGTTTTTCGGGCGAACTTGTATAGAAAACATGAAAGTCGATAAGTTGCATTTCGCCCGAAGAAAGAGCACAAAACAAAAAAAACAAACATTCATAAAAAGAAACTTGCTACTATGTGCTACTATTACTGGGGTAAAATCTCGTGTTCTGTCATCCCCACATAATTCTGATTTGGTCTGTTTTTGTTGCAGGTTACTTGTCAATATATTTCTTTTTATTTGCAGAATCTACAGCCCAATTCTCCTCAAGATGGGATAAACGATTCCTTGCAAATAGGAGATTTCACTGATGAACCAAGGAACAATACAGAAATAGAAGCTTCTCAAAATGACGAACCAGCTCTGGAAACCTCAGAAGGAGCAGCTCCAAGTGAAATAAAAACAAAGACTTTTCAGTCGCCGAAAAAACGTGCAGTCAAAAGGCGTAAGGAAGAAGAAGATCCAAGAATAATGCAGGCTTTTGGATATCTGCAAAACGTGGCTTCAGGTTCTGCAAGTAACCAAAGAGACGATTGCAGCGTCTACGGAGAATACGTTGCCAATAAAATTCGAAAATTTGATGATCGTCTCAAATCTTTGGCCCAGCACAAAATCAACAATATTTTATTCGATTTAGAAATGAGTCACTACAATAGGTCAGCTGCTCCTCAGCCTTTGCGAGAATTTGCACCAGGGTATCCTCAGACCATGAGTACAAACCAATACGATTATCAGCAAGTATCCACACACTTCCCACAATCTTCCATTAACAATTATGAATTATTGCAACCAATGCCTCAAAAATCACCTACTCCTCCTCAAACTTCAATTTCCCGTTCATCAACTCCTACTTCATCTTGCTCACACAGCGGTACTAATTCAGTTTTGTTGCATAATTATTTTGCAAGTTTCTCAGATGATAATGGGGATAATAATTCTACCCCATAGTAGCATTATATTTATTATATATGTATTATATGTTATTAAACTAGGCAATAAAATGATTTTCTACATTTAAGTGTCGTTTTACTTACCTTAACGTGATCTATTAAACATTCAATAAGAGCTTGACACACCTCCGGTATTATTTGTGATATTAGCTGCTTTGATATCCGAAATAGGTACTGTAAACTAGTATACGAGTCCCCTGTAGCTAAAAAACGTAAAGTGACTGCCAACCTTTCTTCAACGCTGACTGCTTTTCTAAATACTGTGTCACGTCTCATTATTTTCGTTTTGATTGCATTTAGAAGAAAATTAAAATCATCTTGGGACATTCGGGTAAAATTCTTGAAGTGACCCGTCCCTTCTTCGGACAAATCATTTAATAACAAGGTACTGTTAATACCATTTTTACCGCCTCTTTTCATATATAATTGTGATGTCCATCGACGTCTCTGTCTCCTTCGTTTCTGCTTTAATAACTTGCATATCACAATAAAACTAGCACTAGCCACTGTCAGACTTTCATCCGCCATATTGAAACGCGCACTACGAGCATTCATTGAGCGAAGCTCATGTGTCTCGCTCGCGTGTCCCATTCAGATGTGTACTCAGCCCCCTTTCCAAATGCTCATTCGCGCTCGCCTTGCTCATTCGACCCAATGCTCAGATGTATACGCGCCTTTAGATAAGTTTGTATGGCTGTTTGATTTATGACGATTGCAATAAAACTAATATACACAATTAATGCAATAACAAAGTATAAATTTGACAAAAATATGCGACTTCTTTTGTCACTATTTTTGAAAACTAACCTTGACTATAAGTTCTTTATTTTTACTGGTACTTCAAATACGCCATGATTTTTATGAAAACCCGAAGTATAATTGCTTTTATGGAAGATTATGCACTTAATGAAATATATAGCATCCAATAGTAGATGCAGCAAATAAAGATCATTAAAATTGAAAGTGTTAAGCGATATAAAATGGCCTTCAAGTACGAAGTATAATTTTTCATATTTTCATTGTTGTCTGAGTAGAAAAAATCTGCAATACGGCAAAAATTGCTGCAAAATGAGCACAAAGTTATGCACTTAACATATCCATTTGAGCAAAGGTGTACCTCCAGCGTAAAGTAGGAGAAACGAACCTAACGTTTTAAATATCTCCCTTATTACATGAGCACAAAATTTGTGTAATACGGCAAAATTTAGCACAAAATTATGCACTTAACTTATATCCATTTGTGTAAAAGTGTACCTCTAGCGTGAAGTGGGAGGTACCAACCTAACATTTAGAATATCTCCCTTATCACGAGGGCACAAAATTTGTGTATTACGGCAAAATTTAGCACAAAATGAGCACAAAATTAGGCATTTAACTTATTTTGATTTGAGTGAAGGTGTAGGTACCTCCAGCGTGAAGTGGGAGGTACCAATCTAACATTTTACATATCTCCGTTATCACGTGGGCACAAAATTTGTGTAATACGGCAAAATTTAGCACAAAATGAGCACAAAATTATGCACTTAACTTATTTTGATTTGAGTGAGGGTGTACCTCCAGCGTGAAATAGGAGGTACCAAACTAAAATTTTGGAGATCTCCGTTATCACGTGGGCACAAAATTTTTGTTATACGGCAAAATTTAACACAAAATGAGCACAATATTATAAGTAATGCGCCGTTTAATTATTTTTGCATTGTACCTCCAACTTCAGGGACCTACTAAATTCCTTAACTTGAAGGACGAAAATAATATAAAATTTTATTTATAATACTGCAATCATGCAATTCCCAAGTAGTTAAGACAGGATGTGCGTATCTCACCTTGTCTTGCATGTCCCAGAGTGCCAACCAGATGTGAGATGACATCATTACAAAGTACTCTGTGACCCTGTCCAGTGTCATATTTACTAGCTCATTTTTTCACGGTAAGTCGTCAATCTTGTACCTACTGAATTTCGGTTATTTACATTACGAACTTTTAGTGTTTTAATATTTTTTCAATGGCTGAACAAAGTGTAGGTGATATATTGGAACAATGGGCATTCCCCGAACTAGTTTTGGTGTTTGAAGGTAAGTGTAACTTTAATCCATAAATTGTTTTGAACTATCTTTTGTTTTCCGGCATTTTCATTTTTAGATTTTTCGAACGACAACTCGAAAAGTGCCGGTCTGATCAGAAACTGGTCGAGGAACTTTTTATTCAGTTTTCGTTCTATAACACTATCCCACAGTCCGTGTGCGCGAATTTCGAAACACGCTGTATATGTAAAAGCTGTCTATATGTACTGTAGGTAAGTTTTAATTTAAGTGTTTAAGTATTTTGTTTTTGGGGATGTTAATGATAAAAAAGTTTTTCTTATGTAGTTAGGTAAACAG